TTAGCGCCGGAGCTGGGGAGCGCGGCCCGGCCGCCGCTTGGCCGAGGTGACGCCCGGCAGCAGCGGAACTGCCCCGGTTCAAAGTGAGCAGGGTGGTTCCCACACGGATACCTCCTCAGAAGGTGAAACCGAGCGCACACCTGCTGCAGCCACTGTAGTGAGGAGGAAAAGGGGAAAAGCAGCCCGAGAGGCCAGAGAAGTGCCCGACCCGATAGCAAAACGTAACAGATCTAAAAAGGAGGAATCTGCCACAGGCTCAGGGAGCCCGTACAAGCACCCTTAAGCCAAGCTTTGTTGGGAATCAAGGTGTGATTTGCATAAAAACACCGTTTTCCCTCCTAGAACTGCAGCAAGTGGAAAGCCTCAGTTGGACAATGTAGAGACAATCCCCGAGAAGGTAGCTAATTTTGTTAATAGGGCTGTTAAGACACAAAACGCAGAAGAGAGTGATCTAAATGTAATGCTAGGACACTTTACAAGATGAAAAAGATGGTTAATAAGGCTGCTAAATCAGCTATAGAGACTCTAATTACAGCTGGAAATCTTCAAGGGCTGGTTAATGATATTTTTCCCTTTAACTGACCCAGGGTGGGATCCTAATGTGGCAGTACAAATGGCGAAGTTAAAATGTTATCAGAATTGGACAGTACTTGGCCTAAAACATGCCATCCCTAAAGCAGTTAATTGGTCCAAATTATATGAAGGCACAAAAAACCAGAAATTAAACCCCTTCAGACTTCTTGAATAGGCTTAAAGAGGCTGCACAAAAATTCACAAGTCTTGACTAAAAGGCATCTGCAGACTCACCTAGCTTATTTGTTTATAGGCTAATCTGCAGATGACATAAAGAAAAAGCTGCCAAGGATGTATGAGACACATGACATAGGTAAATTGTTGAATTCAGCCTGGAAGAAATAGCTATGTGTGTATATATATATATATATATATATATATATATATATATAAAAAAAAAAGTTTTCAGTATGATTCCTCAGAGCAGTCTGCAGACCACAGATCCCTCATGTTTAAGACAAGGTTTCAACTCAACAAAATTCAATGGTCCTACCATTATCTCCCTCTCACAACAGCACTCCTTGTAACCCCTTTGATGGGCTCACTTTTGTATGAGCAGTACAACCTATTTAAAAAGGGCTGAAAACTTAGTGTTCAGCTGCCTACTACATTTTTGAAGAACATGATGAAAGTTAAAGTCCCAAAGCTACATGGAAAGTTATTTTCTGGGATTGACCATCCCAGCTTAGTCCTCAGGATTCGGATCTAAATGAACTTCAGAATGCTTGCACCAGGCTTGTTAAGTCTACAGTTAACGCCTTCACAACAACTTTTCAATTTGAAAGATTATGGAAGAAATAAATAGAGGAAAAACACAGAACTCCATCCCAAACATTTCAACTATTTCTGGTCCAGCTATGCAACTTTCCATCTGTGTGCTAATAGCAAATATGAGGCAAACCTCTGTACCCATATGGTGAGAAGTGAGTGAAAAACTCCAAGAAATAGCTCATGGAGATGACAGTCACTGAGGTGTTTTCTTACCTAGGAGAGGAGACAAAACAATTTTGTTCTGCTGAAAATAGTTCTGCATAAAGCCTGGCAGGAAGGTTGGCAAGGCAGGTTCAGAAATAATGGAGAGACAAACTCCTTTAGGTTTGCTGATGTTAGCTGCAGTCTATTAGATACTTGACCATTCATTTGGATTCAAATGTGCTAGCTTGTCTTTCAAAACTTCTGTTACACAGATTCATCATTTTTCATGGCCATTTTTGTTTGATTTATAAAATAATGCCACAGGTTTCCTGGAAATTACATTGCTAAAAGTAGGAAGTTACAGGTTATGCCTGTTGTATGACATTGCCATAACAGGCTCAACTCCAAATTTAGTAGTTTGCCTTACTGGCACACCAATCTGAAGGTCTGCCTGTGCAATGCATTACAAACCAGGGTGATGAGAGTCCAAGAAAGACAACAAATGGTAAGAGGAAGAGGGAAACAAAACAGAGTGCTTTGGATTTGGCAAAAATCTGGGTAAGTGTAATCTGGTGTGACATTTCCCTGTCCTCATTAGGACTAACTTTCACAAACTGATGGAGAGCTGGCAGATCTGCAAATCTTCTGTGATTGCCTGTAGAGACATAAGGACTGGAAATGCAGTGATTGCTCACAGAGTGGCTTGTGGAGTTGTTTCTGACTTATGGATGGGGGATGTTGCTTTCATCACAGAGAGAAACAATTGTGGTAGCCCAGCAATTTTATCAGCAGACCACCAAGAGGATCTATTTCAAGGTCTAGATAAACAAAAACAAAAGAAGAGCCAACTGGAGCTAAGCTTTCCTTGAGCAGAAAAATAGAAATTTATTTTCTCCCTCCTAAAGAATCAGTACCTGGAGTAGATAAAATTCTCCAGTATTTTAAAAGGATGGTGAATGCTGAAAAGGTAAGGAGAAAGCTCAAGCAAATGCATAGAGGTTGTATGAGTACTCTAAAATCAGATAAAACATAAAAGGGACTAGTTTTTGACCAAGTTTGGTGAATAGATGGACCATATTTTTCTCAAGAGTAAAGTGAATGAAATGGACATTTGATCTTCAAAGTTCCATCAGGTGATAAAAATCCTCTAGAAGAGATATTATTGATAATATAAATGGAACAAGAGACTAACAGCACAGACTCAGAACTAGCCAGCCCTAGTGAATTTAGGGCAATGAAAAGTGCCCTTATTCAAAGCTGCACGCTTTGAGATGAATCAGTGGAAAGTTCTCCAAATGCTCAGACTGAATGCTTGAGCCTATGTCTGTAAACACCAGTCAAAAAGGTCTGTAGGAGAAATGCAGGTACTTTTTCTTTTTAAAAAAAGACAAAAGTAGCTTTTTCCGCTGATGCAAATGAATATAAACCAGTCCAGTATATGTGTCAATACACAGAAAGGAAAACAAGCCATGTGTTTGCAAAATCACTCAGACTAGAGCAGGTAATGAAATGAATAAATAGTGTGCAGAGGTGAGCTGTGCATTTGCTCAACAAAGAAAGATGCTGCAAAGTCAAAAGAATGCCTAATAAAACAAAGCACAAATGGCCTCCATGTGATGCACAAATTAGGCCCAGGAGCACAAATGAAAGAAGTGAGAAAAACTGAAACACACTTGTTCAAAAGAAAGTATGGAGTTGGAGAAGTCAAAGGTGAGACTGAAATCTGAAGGCAAGGGACAAATTCCAGGCCTGGCCAAGTGTGAAGTGTCACTGATGTTCAAAGGCACAAAGAGTAAAACAAGACGTTGTGGTAATGCATTAGGGAGAGCAAGTAGTCCATGGGCATAAGTTTGGTCTCGTCACTGAAATGTGTGCCAAAGCCCAGTAGATTCATAGCCCCAGGAACAACCTGAACCAGACATGAATGTGCCAATGCGTGAAGTGAAGTGTGCTTGCAGAAAAAAGGGGTCACCTGGTGACATTCCAGGTACAGTTAATGGAAGACGCAGAATGTCTTACATGTGGCACTAATAAAAGTGCAGCAAAACATGACAACAGATGGCTTCATTCACGGGATCAGTCAGAGCAATAAAACAGGCTTGTTCTTTGTAGCTGTGGAGAAAAATAGGAAAAAGGATTGGTCTTAGATTTTGCAGTGACCACAAGATGCTGAACAAGATCATTTAAAAAGGGAAACATTTCCATTTGCTCTCAAGGAACGAAATGTTTGCTGAGATGGCAGAAGCCAAGTTCTTCAGAATATTAGATACAGAGGGCGGGTTTTGGCAGGCTCCCCTGGACACTGAACACTTCAAAATTTGCTTTCAAATCACCATTTTGCAGATGCTGCTTCCTGGGATTGCCTTTTGGAATCCATTTAGCATATTGCAGAAAAACACCCCAAACACAGGGAGGCCTCTCTGGGGTGAAAATACATGTGAATGAGAAGAGAAATGGGCAGCACCACTTTTTAACATCAGGAATGATTACAGGGAACACTAAAAATTGCAAGAAAAAGAACCCTCAAATCGAACAACTCCAACTTGTCAATCTCAAGCTAGTAAGAGAAGTATTCAGAAAATGAATGATGCCTAATTCTTCTACAGAAGAGGACTCGAGGGCTATGACAGTGACACAGGACAGATGTATGAATGCATAGTCTAAATAGAACATATAATAGCCATAAAAAGTTCTGTTATTTTGTCTAGAATAAAAAGACTAGACATTAAGCATTAATAATTTTTCATGAAACACAAGAAAGGACTCACTGAAACATTACCAAACAAGCTTACTGCATTTTTTTTTTCCAAAGGCTGACAGAAGGCTGTGAATATGGAGGTCCTGCTGAGACATGAAGCTGTAATTGTAAGCAACCAGGTGACCTAGAACGAGGTACAACACAGTGTATGACTACTACAAATGGATGAAGCTTTGGATTTACCCTGGATGTGGGATGAGTTATGCAAGCAGTCGTATGAACTATAAGCAGAGAATGATAAAACACAAAAACATTTCTCTTGCCCACACTGGATTATCTGGAGGTCAGTCACAGAAAGTACAAGAATGGCAGTTATCACAGTAAGGCAAAGCAAAACGTAGGGAAGATGTTCATCAAGAAGGACACCTTGAATGACTGGTCAAAAAACATACCAGTGAAGTTCCACTTTATTCACAGATGAGGCAGATATCAGAAATGTTGAATGTAAGTGGCACTGATTTAACTGAATCAAGTAAGCCTCTGTAAGTTAGCCTGTAATGCTTATATTGTTGATATGTTCCAGGTTCTAAAATCAGAAGTGAAACATGATTTATATGAATAAGCATAGCATCTCTCAAGGCATATCACTAATTGAAAAGACCACAGGTTTAGCTGTGATCAAGCGTGTTACAACTGATGCATAACTGTTAAGAAAGCGAATGGTTATTTTTGTACTTCACAAAATCTGAACTCCCAAATGTTTCTACAGCGTTTGCATTTTAACATACAACATCAAAGGCTTGATTCATTCACCCATGTATAAGCTTCTTATTCCATTTAAGATGCACAGACATACCTGAAACATCCACAAAGGAATGATGCAGGACTTAAAGGAGACCTGTGCATTACTACAGTGTAAGCTGGAGGCCACGGTGGACACATAAGGGCATCTCACATCCCATAGATACCCATAAAGACTCATAAAGACTCCAGAAATTCTTTAACCATGGATGTCAGAGCATCTATGGTTAAAGAGTACACTCTCTCTGCATAAGGAAGAATTTGCTCGGGAAACACTTGGCACAAGAGAACCCTGGGAAAAAAAAAAAAGTCAGTGATACAAGACTACATAGGTACCTGAGACATAGAAACAAGCCTAAATCAAAGAGCAATGTATAACTGTGATTTTTGGCAAACAGCCTAGAGAAGTCAAAATGGACAAAGAACTGTAAGAGCCACCAGGTGTTTGCCACAGCCCAGAAATACAGACCTCGGCAAGATTACTGCTGTCAGAAAAAAGGAGTGAAGATACATCACCTGGTTTACATTCTGGGACTTGAGCCAGTGAATGGACTTCTCAGACAAATGTATCATTTTAGTACTGGGCTTATAGGAAAACTTATTTAAATTTTAGGATTTGGCTGATATCCCTGTTCTTCTTTTAAATTAGAGCTACAAGGTTGCTGTATGAAAGAGCTGGAGACTTCCCCCGGTTAGCCATCCCAGCACAAGCCTGGTACAGCACTTGTGGCTTGCAGGGGCCTGGTGTTTAATGTGGTTTTGGCTATTGCCAGGGTGAAGGCCAGCATGACCATGGTTTTCATGACAATGATGAACAAGCACCAAAAAGCTTTAAGAACAAGATGTCTCTTTAATCATCAGCACTTACCTGCCCAAGCTGAGCTCAAAGTCGCCTTTGTACTTCTATCAGCCCTGGCATTGAGATTAATTTGGGAAATAGTTAGATTAATTTGAAGGCCTGTTTACCACTGTAATTTCTTTGAGTTTTCCTTTCACTTATGCTGTAGCCAGTTCACACATCAATCTGTCCTCTGCTGCCACTTCATTCCATAGGCTTCTTCCTCACATCCTGTATCCAAGGCAGTCTCTGGGCATCCAAAACAGGTTTTGTTAGACCTGAAAGGTTGCAACAGAGCTGTGTTGAGCACTGTGATGCCTGCTGAAATGGAAGATGCACATGTGTAGTCCCAGGGAAAGAGACCTTTCTTGTTCAGAAGGGTAGAGATGGTTGTGACATGGCAAGTTTTCCAATGGGGCAGGGTATTAAAAATGCCCATGGCCCTTTGTAGATAAGAATGAATCTGTGCTAGCAGAGAATTGTCATTTCAAAGTTGTTTTCAAATTACAGATGTAAAGAAAAAGCAACGAATCCCACAAAATTGCTCTATTTGCTTTTTCTTCTCTTTTAACTCGCACACAGCTGAACCAAATTATTTTATGTCCAGTAAAAGTCCTCTCCCATAAATGTGCTGGCTGTTTCCTTTCATATGAATTTTTTCCGTATGCTTTATGAACTTTTGAAAATGCAAGGGGAATAATTGCATTGTTGATAAAAATATAGCATAAGTTGTGGAGACTGCTACACTAATGAAGAAAGGAAGAAACATTTTTTTTAGAGTCAGAAAGCCTGGGGCAAATGAAAATCTTCTTGGAAACTTCAGTGGTAGTTTTGCTTGAGTGCAGATTATGGACTCGTGAGCTCTGTGAGTGGACAGGCATGCCCATATAATTTTTACGACATGTGCATGTTATTTAATAGGATGGTTGCACACAAAATTCCCAGCCTGGAAAATCATTGTCCTAAATGGAACTGAAGTCCCAGCTTAGATCAAAATCTGTCCTTTGCTGCTTTGAAAAATGATCAAAAGCTTTGGTGGAAGTTACCCTCTTTCTGTTGCATACACGTACAAGGTGAAAAGGATATTAACAGGGGTCTCTAAGCATCTCACCTGCTGTCTGGGATTTGGGGTCCAGGACAAACTACATTATGCCCTGTGTCTACAATCTCTTCAGATGAAATTCAGGTAAGATGGGTGACTTTCTTTGTATGGAAGAAGAGGAACATATGGATACAGAAAACTGGTAAGAGGCATGGCAGTCTTCCTAATGTCCCTCAATATATTTTTCGTAAGTAACAAATTCCCTTCTACTAAAAAAAAAAATAGTTGAACCAATTTAATAACATGTTCAATTGAAAAAAATTGTTAAGAGGAGGAAACCTTTTGGGTCCCAATTACTGTTAATTTGTAATCCGGTGAGGTCAAGTACCTGATTAAATATTTATATAGGAGAAAGGTCATAGTCTTTTGTGATCTTCTATGCCCTGTGTTAATTTTCCGTCAGATGCAATGAGTTCCTTTTGGAGAACACTTTATCAGAGAAAGTAAGCCTTGCTCTTGGCCTCTGAAAAGGCAACTGTTGGGTTTTGATGTCAAGCAGCTGAAATCAATCTCTTGCAGTTAGGTACATTTTTAGCCCAAGTTTTTCCAAAGCAATTTAGCGATTTTAGGTTTCTCAGGATTTGAATGCTCACCTCAATGCCTTTGAAAGGCAGTAGACTTTAAGGAAATGAAGACTATCTGACCTCTGTAAATTGGGACACTTTAAAGAGGTCTCTGCTGGACATGTGTGTGTCATATGGAAACTTTTGAAATCACTAGTCACTTTGGAAAATCTTGCACTCAAAGGATACAAAATTTTATTTTTTTTGTCTAATTTGTAATTTGTTTTGTGGCTTAAACCCCACAAAAGAGGCATGCTGTATCAAGCTCAGGGTTGTCTGATTAGAAAATTAATATCTGAGTGGAATTCAGGCAGTATCAAATGGAACCAGCAGAGATTTGGCAAGGTTTGCAGTTTTCCCCTTGTATCTATGGAGGGGCAAACCACCCTGTCTGCTCCTCCAGCTGAAGAGATGGAGATAGAGATCAGCCAGTCTCTAAAACACCTCCCTTCCTATGGCACTTCATGGACCAGTGCACTCACTGCAGTCAGGATGTGGGACCTTGGATGTTCTCTCAGGGTGAACACAGAATCTTCTAGGGAGTGGTCAAGTGCCTCAAGTGTTCTGTGGGTGCACCCTGATCTGGGACATAGTCTCTATAGAAAACCCGTTTCGTCATTCTCATATTAAAAGTAGTATATTTTTCTTCACACTTTTTTTTTTTTTTCCTTGGGTTTGTTTTTATTCCTGTTTACCTGGATTCATTTTAACTCCTCTCTTTTACAGCATTTTATCTATCTGTGTATCTCCATATGCTAAATACAAACACATATTAGAAATGTACGTTCAATCTAAAGGATCTACACCAGACAAATATATTAGCTAACTTGGAGGCTGCAGAAGGCATTCAGGGTGCAGAAGGTTGTCAGCAATTCTAGTTCCTAGAGGCAGCTGATTTGCCATAACCAGTTATATCATGTATCATTAAAAAATATCTCTGTGAGTGTAAGACATTATGAGGTTTTGTACTTATGATGCATCTTTTTAGCTGTGGAAAATCTGTATGGAGAAATTCACAAGTGCCACTGGTCCTGCTGCAATGCCACACAGAATTCTGAATTAATATTATTGGAATGACCCAGTTGAGTAGAACTTGCACTGATAACGATGCTTTATTGAACTGTAATTTTTTCCCTTTGTAACCCATGGTTGCTTATTGACTGAATTAATTGTCTTTGGCCAGTGGGCACTAAGTAGTAATGGAAGAAAAATATGACATCCATCTATTTGCAGTAATGTTTTCCCTCATTGCTGATGAGGTTGGAAATTATATGGACAAACCAACTGTATCCTTAGGAGGGTAGTATCCTTAATACACTGCCCTTTCATGAAGAATAATTGTGGAATCAACAGAACATATGGCTGTCATAATTTTGGCTACACTTTTCTCTCGTTTGTCCGGTTTGAAATGTGGGCTCTTGGGAGTAGTGGCTATTGGTATTCCCTGTTCATATAATATTGAGTGGAAAGGAATGGTCACCCTGTTTGCCTACTAGTGGGCAATTTTCTAATATGATATTATATAATACTATACTCAGAGGGAAGAATCATTCACTTAAGAATAAGATTATTTTAAATATGAATATTTTAATGTGGAGAGCAAATTCTTGTTGAAGAAATTGCACCTGTTTTTTTCCCCAGAACATGCAGAGTTGAAGGACAGGATATGATCATGTTCATGTATTATCACAGACCCATACATGTCCCACATTACAGGCATAAAATCCAAATAACTTGTGCTTCAGTGAAAGAATATCTTCATAACAGTGACCAGTGTTACATGGAAGAAGTCCAAAAATGTGAAAGAATACTACTATTTCAAGTGGTACAGAGTTCCGAAACTTAATCACCCTCCTGCAGCATAAGCCCTAGATACATTTATTCTGATCTAAAGTTTAAGCTTCCCACCCTTTGGGTTCTTGCTATACTTCTCTCTTTTAGAATTTCTCACAGTATTTTCTACCTAAGAAGATACTTTCTTACTGAAGTCATGTTACTTCTCAGTCTTGCTTCAAAAGAGTAAATATGCTGAGCTCCTAGAGTGCCTCATTGTAAAGCATTTTCTTTAGCTCTTGGGATGCTTTCTCCACATTTTCCATTTTTTCCATTTCCTTCTTAGAGAATGGACACCACATGTGTTCACCATTGTCATAAATCCTCTCTTGTTCCTGCATTCCTTGTTTAAGCATGTAAGGGCTGTTCTCTTTTTTTGCCACTGTAAGACACTTTGAGTTCCCATGGAGCTGTACTCATAGTGGAGTTTATTTTAATTTACCTGCAGACATTTCTGTGTAATATTCTGTAGTTACATGCTAAATGATGACCACAGAACTTCAGGTGCGAGATTATTCTCTGTAACATAAGAGGTCCTATAGCTTTCACTACACTCCCAGCAGAAAGAGCTTGAACACTGGATATACAATGACATTTTTCCAAAATCTATCAAATCTGGGTATTAACACAGTGACAGACTTCTGCAGAGTGACACTAGCCAAATAATTTGACTCACCATGTTGTATTAGATTTTTGTGCATGTCAACAGTCTGTGTTGTGATGTGCCAAAACACTAAGAGAAACAGAGCTCTTCCAAAAATGACAACTTAAGCCCATTTAAATTCTGTTACTTCACTAAGCTTAAGGGTTGGCAGCTGAGAATCCAGCTTACCCCTTCAATAAGACTGTTGCTTTTAGCCAAGGAATTTGCAGTATGTTTTAATGGGGTAAATTAATTACGTAATAAAGAACTTGTGACTTTTGAAGCCAAACTGCAGGCTCCTTTGAAGAGGGTGCACTTTCTAAAATAGAATATTACAGAGCACATTCCTATTCTTAAGTGCAAAAAATATCAGCTTGGCTTCAGATTTATGGGCTGGTAAACTGCATTTTTCTACTTGTATTCTAGCCCAAGTAAGGATTTCCTACTGTCATATTAATATTCCTTCCTGGTCATTTTTTTAACTGGTGCAGTTTGGAAGAGGGAAATACTGTGCTTGCCCACTGTCTCGTAGCGTCTGTGTTACTAGAATGGGATTAGGAGATCCAGGGAGTCCTCAATCCAACAGAACCGTAAACTTGAAGAAATCTTAGACTGTAAACTGCTAGGGACAGGACTGTTTTGCTGGTGTCCACACAGTGCCATTCTTGCCCATGACAAAAAAGCTCCCAGGTGCTCAAGTAATAAAACTGAAAAAATATGCAAATAGTCTCCTTGAAGATCCAGTGCTTTGACGGATCAGGGCCACGACTCAGCAGATGAATGATGTTGGCTCACAGCAGCTGAACAAGCCCTATTGTTTTAGGAAGCTGTCATCTTGTGCTCCAAATTCTAATCCTTCATTAAAAATAGCCTCTAGCATATAATTGCAAAAATAGCCTTCCCCACTTGGACTGACAGCAAATTGATGCCACGTTGCCTCTAGCTTCTGTAATAACTGGAGACAGCAGCTCAGAATGCCCTATATTCAGTCCTTTCACTTCAATATCTTGTTGACTCTGAAGCCTAATGATGACTGTCTCAGAGTTCGTGCTATTATTTAACTGATGATCAAATATGCAAGAAACAAGGAGAAAAGTGATCAGCGGGGGTTTCTATCTTTAAAGCATCCAAAACCTAGAGTAGGTTTTGGATTGTTGTTTACCATGTGATCCTTTACCTCAAAATATGGCAAATGGCTTTCTTTTGAGGCATGATATATGTCCATAATAAATTCTGTATTTCATAGAAAATATATTTGCTATTATGGAGGACATTGGAACTTGTTCTTAAACAGTCTCACTTTTTTTGTTCCACTTTTTTAATGTTCATAAGAATGTAACTCTGGGTAATTTTTAGTTTATTATGTTTACAATAAAAAGAGATGCATGTTTGTTCAGAGTGTCTTGAGTTTGTTTTCTAGTTCATCTTCTGACTGTAAATGTTCATAGAATGCTCATGTGAGCTGTTGATTTTTTTCCCCATTCAATTTCTAGATGAAAGACTCATGGAATGAACCAATTAAATTAAAGAAAAAGTATCCAAGATGAGACCAAGTGTACTGCAGCCACTTGAGAACACTTGTTTTTTTGAACATCTGGTCAAAAATATCTGTGCCGTTGGACTAAGAGCAGGTGTAGCATTCAGGAACAAGGGTATTAGAGATGCAGATGGACATTGTGTGTAAAAGGTTCAGGGAAAACTCTTGAGAATCCAGAGGTTAAAATAATATCTTCCACGGTAGCCCAGGGAACTGGAGGATGATCTTTTCCTGAAGCTCACTTTTAAATTTATATGTGTGAATAAAGGGGACATTTTAAAATCTGGGTAACACCTAATATGGTCTAAAGAAAATATTTTGATTTGGAATGCTGCAAATAAAGCCAGTTACTGTTCTGTACAAACCTGTTACCTATCAAAAAAGACAGTGCAGCAGTCCTTGCAAAAATGCACTTTTATTCATAAAGAGTACATGCGAGACTGTGAAATATTGTCATACAGTATGACAACAGATAACCTTCTGTGTTACAGATAGCAGAAAATGGGGCCTAAAAAGACAACTGAATTAATGCTAGTGTTCTGTGAGACTGTCTTCATGAATCACCTTAAGGAATTTATGAGAGGAGCCAACTGAGTATGAAACTCCTGTTCTTTCTCCTCTGAAATCCTCCAGGTGTTGGTTAATTTGCTAAGGACTTTCCAGAATGCAGTCTTCTGTGACACAGACACTATCAGGGGTTGCATAAATCCTGCAGTGTCATGGGATGACACATTCTGTGATAACTTCTGTAGACCAGAAAACCTCATTTAATTTGAAATATAGGAAGAGGAAGAAAATGTAGTTTTGGTTGGTTTTTCTTTGTTCACTTGTTTTTTTTCAAGATAAATGTTTTTTGCTGAATATTTGCCACTCAAGAAGCTTGGTTACTTGAGGCAAACAAAACATAATATGGAGATTAAGTCCATTTTTCTATAATCTCTGCAGGGCTCTGTAGTAACAGAATTTTTCCATGATGCTATGAAGACTATATCAGAATTTTCAAAATGTTTTGCATTTGCTGTAGTAGAAGTACAAGGAAAATTACCTATGGATGCAAAAGAGATTAAAATAGATATTACCAAAAATTTTGTTTAATGCAGTTTATAGTTTATTTTGCCAAAGCACTTTTGTAAAATACTGATATTCTTCTTTTCAGGTGGATTTTGAGTTGCCCTACTTGTAACAATGTGTTATTATTTTAGTTGTGAATATCTGTTCACCAGGGTGATAATAAACATACACTCTGCTTCCCTGCCTCTACAGAGCTGGAGGCGGGTTTTCACCTTGTCCTAGTTAGACCAGTCATTGATACAATGTAGAGGCAATCATTAAATACAGCTGTATACAGAGACCCTATGGTTTTAACTGTATCAGGCTTTTCTTGGCCTGGTAAAGAAATGCCAGAGGAGCTTGCCTGTGTGCATAATGACACTTTCAGGAATCAGTTGCTCCCCTAAACACATCTGACGAACTAAGTAAGTATTAATTACCTAATTTGATGTAGCTTGGTTGATCTGTTTATCAGACAGAAATTTTGTACATCACGTGTGTCTTTTATTATTGCTGCATGTCATACTGAGGTGGGATTTGCCTCAATTTTTGAAGGCTTGTTTCAAAAGAACATAGCTAAAGTTTGCAAGAGAATTATTTTTGTAATATTTTCCCACAAGGCTGGCTTGTCAGCCTTATCAAGGCGCTTTATGCTCTCTCTTATAATGTAATATTTAATACCTTTGTTTTTTGCATTTGGTTTCCTTGGTACCATTAGAGCAGGACATGAAAAAAAGGCAGATACAAAAGTGTAAGTGTTGCTTTGGCAATTAGTCTGCTGAACTATACACGACCAGCTGGATGACTAAAGAGCAGGGTCCTGATTCTGCAGGCACCTACCAGAGCACTTCTCCTACTTCATGTGGGCGATTCCACCCATGAGTTCTCACTGAGAAGAAAACCCTGTCCACTTTGTTGCATGGGGAAATACAATGTAACAGACATGGCAATTACTGTGGCAATTTCTCCCCTTGATTTGACACTGTAAATGCATTTGAAGGGGTAGGGCTCAAATGCGAGGTGTGTATGCTTGAGTCAGCCAAACAACTGCAAATGCAAGGGGTTCTGTTGAGTGGGTTTATTGCAGCCTTTAGCAGCCTGCTCAAGTACTTCAGAAACAACGTTTCATTTCTGTGCTTGCTTGGAGATGCTGAATTCTGTCCCTGTCCTGAGTTTTTGGATTGCTAAATGTAGTGCAAACTGCAAGAAGAGCTTATCAGAACTGGTGTTACCAGAAGCTAAGAGAACATAATTCACATTCCCAAAATATAAGAACTTAAAATAGAATGTTGTTAGGCATAGGGGTTTACGTCCTGACTATTTTCAACTTTAGTGAGAGGTTCTCATCCTGAATTTGTAGATGGTGAATTTAGATTTCTACTTCTGGTAACACTAAAATGCAGACCCTTCCTCTTCCTGCTCATTCCCATTGGCAGTTCACTGAAGCTTTACTAGGTCTCAGCTGCATCCTCCATAAATTGGGAAATATGCATTACTTGGATCTTTGCCAACTCCTTCATTTTTCCTTC